TTTGGGTTTAGGCTTTGGGGGTTTAGGGTTTTAGGGTTTAGGGTTTAGGGTTTAGGGTTTAGGGGTTTAGGTTTTAGGGTTTAGGGTTCATGGGTAGTTATAAGTAGGCTTCCTTTAAGGGTTCCTTTAAAGGGTTCTACAGGGTTTAGGGTTTAGGGTTTAGGGTTCATGGGTAGTTATAAGTAGGCTTATAAGTAGGGCAACTATAGTTATAACCCATATTAGGGGGGGACTTATAACCCTACTTCTAACTACCCATGAACCTCCAAGTAGGGGCTCAAGGTTCAGGGCTTAGGGTTCTTAGGCCTAGGGTTACAAGTTGTAGGGTGCGATTTTGATTCTTGGGAGTATGTTCTTGGAGGGTCGCGATTACGATGTTTGGTGGCTTTTGGGGAGGGCTGTGTGTCTTCCAAGGCAAAGTGCAATATGCAAAAGTGCAGAGACGTGCAGAGTGCAATTCTGCAAGGTGCCAGGTGGAGAGTGCAAGATGCGACGACTTTTGATGCCTAAACCCCAAGCCCTGTATTCTGAGTAGGCTCTTCCACGGGAAGGGGTTCAACCACCTTCAGCATGCTCTATTGGGGCTGTAAGGTATTGGGTTTTATAAGGGCTTAGGAATTTAGGGTTCAGGGTTTAGGAGTTTAGGGTTTAGGGCGTTTGTGTGACGCCCGTCTTTCCGTGCGCTTGTGTCAAGGTTCCATTTCTTCATGAAGTTCGGGAGACGGGCGTTTAGGGCGCGAGGCTTGCGTTATTGGAGTTTCGTGGTGCTCTGCGCTTTTAAGGGTGTACTAAGGAGCCCCAGAAGGCTCGACTTACACCTCTTACAATGTTTCAAAATGCTCGAAACCCTACGCCTTAAACAGAACCTCGATGCCGCCGTTCCCGAAGCCTGCCTCCTCCAAACAGGTATAAACAAGCCATAAAAGACACCATGCAATATCGACAAGAGCTTAATCAAGCCCTACCACGCACAGAAACACTCGCAGACCAGGATAATTCCAGAAACGCGCAAGAAAGCCCTAAACCCTAAACCCCTGGCAGCAGAACCCTAAATAACCCAGGTTCAACAAAGGCCCACGCAAGCCGTAAACCGCAAACCTTGCAATACAAAGCCGCGAATGCTAAAAGCGAAGAGTTGGGGCTGTATAATAAGAATACAGTATAGTAGTATATAGTGTAGAATACTAATGCAGTAATTATAAGACATGGCATAATAAACGTGTGTCATGTAATATGATACAGTTGGGTTGAACTAAGGGCCCAAGTGTGGGTCAGTCAACGTTGCAGATCCTTTGTGCTGTCTGTCGCGTGGGTTCGGGGGTTAGGGATTTAGTCACGATTCTAGATAAGGGTTCGTTAAAAAGTGCAAGTTGCCTAAAGCCTACACCCTAAACCCTAAACCCTAAGCTATCTCCTCTCAGGCACATCCAAACTGCTGCTGCCCAAAAGTCAAGGCTGCACACCTTTCAGGGGGCTTCTGGCAGTTTTATGGTTTTGGTTTAGGGTTTAAGGTTTAGGGTTTGGGGTTTAGGGTTTAGGGTTTAGGGTTTAGGGGCGGCCTTCCGTGCTTCTTAGCGGCGTGGGGCTGGAGGGTCTCATGGGCAGTTGCCAAAATTATGGTCCCTTTTGGGGTACCCTAAATAATAGGTGTCGTAGTATAATAAGGACCCAAAAATGGACCCTAATTTTGACAACCACCCTCCTAAACCCTAAACCCTAAACCCTAAACCCTAAACCCGATCCAAGCCGAAAAGTGCTTCTCCAACTGGTCTTCAACCGACGATTGCGGTTTAGGTTTAGGATTTAGGGTTTAGGGTTTAGGGTTTAGGGCGGGGGGACAACGTGCCTCTTTAGCGATCATGTTCCCCAGGACGGCCATGAAGCAGAAGATCACGTGAATTGACAGGCTTATCAAGTAGTCAAAGCAGAAATGGCGTCGCTTTGAGGTGGCGAAGGAGAGCGAAATCACTGCACGGAAGCAGATCGCCGCCCAGAACGTGTAGCTGCCGAGAACGAAGCCCACGAAGTGTGTTGCACCGTCCCAGAAGGGTACCTTGGCTCCACGGCCCAGAGTCTCTGAGCAAAGAGCAAGTATGCCCACGTGCACAAAGGCACAGACAGAGATAAAGAAGGAGAGAGAGAGAGAGAGCCAGAGAGGGAGAGGGAGGGAGAGAGAGAGAGAACAAAAAAAAAAAAGAGAGGGGAGCGTGAGAGACAGCCTCATACTCTGAGTACTTAGATATAGCCTCGGGTTCATCTTGCTTCGGATTCCAGTGTTGCATCTGCGAATGCTTTCGTCTGAAAACTCGTAACTTCTGACTCTAAACGCTGCAACAGCAGGCAAGAACTTCAACTTCAGCAGCTCTTGCAGGTTGACCGGCTCCGAGACCACACAAAGCGCTGTCTATTGAAACGGTTCAGGGTTTTCTGCAAAGGACACAGCACACGTCCTGGCGGCTCCTCGTGCCTGTGTGCCTTATTCTTACGCTGTTAGGTTTAGGGTTTAAGTTTAGGGTTTAGGGTTTAGGGTTTAGGGTTTAGGGTTTAGGGTTTAGGGTAAGGTGTATCTGAACGAACAGGCGCAAGCATGTTGCTAGCCACAGTTCCCATCGCTAGAATCAGCTAGAAAAGAAGGGGCCAAGGTGCCCCAAGGTGTTCTGTTCCAACCGCCACCTATCCTAATATCATTGAACTTGATATGGGTAGCAATTGAGAGTAATCGCAGTTAGTAGACATGGCTTAAACCCTGAAGTCATACGGAAAACTATTTCTTGTTGAATGTAGGTGCCTTGAAAATTTCAATAGGGTTTGGCGCAGATTATACTATAATTATAATAAGGAGCCCCCGATATAGTATGGGTAATTATTAAGGCATTAAGGCCTCTATATTACTGTCCCGCCGGCAAGGAACGCCACCCCTCCACAGGGCGAGGTGATCTTCGAGGATTGCGGTCGTGGCCGCAGAAGCCAACAGCACCTTTGGGCAAAGCCTAAACCCTAAACCCCAAATAACCTACCTTTTTAGGGTTCCTTACTATGATTCCTTT